TTTACAACCTGATTGAGTGACAGGGGGGACGGCCAATCACACAGAAACGGCAGAGCCAATCGACGAGCGTGTGGGCGGTCTAAACAGGCTTCAGCTTTAGCGGCCGTTTTCCGCTTGGTCCTAGTGCCTGACGCGTCTCTGTTTAATATAGCGTAACATTGTTTTTGGACGGTAAAAACTGCAGGGGACAAAAACGGCGTTTTGAAAAAGTGCAGGGGACATGTCCCCTGCGTCCCCCCTAAAAGTGAAAGTTTCACCTAAATCTTACACACTGGACCTTTAAATCCTGTTCTAATTCTTCAGGTTTAATTCTTCCACCCCACATTTCCTCAGCTCCCTCTTTAGTTTTCCTTTCTCTTTGTTATATATCTGGCAGCGACAGATGACATGGTCCACAGTTTCCTCCCCTTAACCATATTAACACTGTCCTGGTGGGTGCTTCCCTATTAAATGCATTGTTTAGTCCTATGTGTCCTAATGTTAGCCTTGATATAACTGTCTGTTCTCCTGTGTTTTTCTGTATTGTTTTCATTCCTAATACTTTTGCTTTGTTTGATACAAAGTCCCTTTTTCTCCCTCATCCCATTGTTTATACCAGTCATTCATGGTGCTACTTCTAATTATTGTTTTGGCTTCAGCCTTACTGAATGTTACCTCTATTTTATTTCCTGTTTTAATGCTTGTTTAGTGAGTGAGTCTACCATTTCATTTCTGTCAATGCCCCTGTGAGCTGGGATCCACATAAATCGGACTTCAGTTTGTGAATGATGTATTCTATATAATGTTTTATATATTTTGTAAATAATATCTGCTGTGCAGTGGGGTAACATTGAGTGAAGTGATACCAATGCTGATAGTGAATGTGAACATACTATAACCTTTTTTAACTTGTTCTGCTCTGTCCACTGTATTGCCATAGTTATTGCAAACATCTCTACTATATATACTGTCAGGTGATCTGGTGTTCTTTGCTTTATATTTATGTTTGGGTCTGGCATAACAAAAGCAAATCCAGTTTTACCATTTTTTGGTTACTTTGACCCGTCTGTGTATATTGGGACCAGAGTATTGTGTGCTGTCTTTAGTCTTCCCTCTACTATATCCGCGCTATTTACTTTTCATTTGTCTCTCTTCATCTTTTCTTGGATATAACAATCTAATGATACAGGGGGAAATATCCATGTCGGTGTCATAAGGCACTGTTGCACTATATATTTTACCATGTAACATCATATTTTTTGCCATTTTATTTACTGTCCATACATAACATTCTGTCTTATTTTTTTCACTTTCCCAGCATGGTCTCACTGTTGGATGTTCTTCTTTGCTGTGAAATTGTAAGTTTGTCCCGTAGTTTAGCATAAGCTGTTTGTATCTAAGGTTAGTCGCATTTCTCCCATCTCCACTTGGACGGCTATATTTGGGGAGGTCTTAATAGCCCCACAACATAGTCACAGTGCCTGATTTTGTAGTCTTATAAATGTTATTTATCAAAGTTTTTGTTGCTGCCCTGTAAACCATACTTCTGTAGTCTATAACTGATCTTATTAGAGCTGTATATACATGTATATTCTTCATAGCTCTTCTATTGGCTCCCCATTCAGAACATTTTGCATTTTTTTTGTACATTCCAGGTCAGCTTTATGTCAAATAAAACCTCCAGATATTGGAACGTGCATATCTGCTCTATATGTTCCCCATACATTTTAAAACTAGCCTCTCTTAACTTTTTCCTAGAATACATAATTTTCGACAGAAAACCTAAATCCTCATGAATGTGACCATCCTGATTGCATTTTGTATCTTCTCTTGAATATTGAATATTTTAAGCTTTTTATCCCTTTTCTATAAGGCCCCATCATCAGCAATTAATGATCTTCCTATATCAGAACTTAAGTCTGAGTACAAATCATTATTCATGAAAAAAGTATAGGGCTGATAACAATGCCCTGAGGCGTTCCGTTGTCTGCCTTATGATATTGTTGTTCTTTACCTTTACCTTGATATATCTATCCAACAAAAAGTTTTTGTTTGTCTTTGTCATGTCTCCTGTGTTTTGGTCCTCTTTCATAAAAAGAGAGTTTTCATTTTCGATTATGGACAGTGTTTTTCTTACAGTTGGATTTGTGTTTTAAGTTTTGCTCCCTGTGTCCCACTCTGTTCCTTTCTGTGTCCCACCCTGTGTCCCCCTCTGTGTCCCTCTCCTGTGTCCCTCTGTGTTCCCATCTGTGTTCCTCTCTCTGTGTTCCACCCTGTGTGCCACCCTGTGCATCATCCTGTGTCCCTCTCAGTGTTCCTCTGTGTTTGTCTCTATTTCTTGTTTTATTTTGTAGTCTCTGCTCCTTGTGTGTTTTCCCCCTGGACTTCCTGCTCTCGTCAGGTTCCCCTGTTTGTCCTGTGTCACCTGTCTCTAGTTTGTCATTAGTTCAGTGTGTATTTAAGTCTTTGTGCTTCCCTTGGTCTTTGTCAGTTTGTTGTTGTGAGATGCCGTACCATGTCTTCACATCTGTCTTTCCACCACTCGTTTCCAGTAAGTCTCTAGTGTTTCCGAATGTTTCCCCTGTTTCTGCTGAAGAGCTACTTTGAGTTTAGTGTTGCTTTTGGATTTTGTTATTATACCCTATCCTAATTATTAAAGGACACTTTAAATCTTTTGTTCTGCCTTTTTGGGTCCACCTGCTCCCTTACCCTGTCCCTACAAAACATAATAGAATTAATTGACCAATTATGGACCAATTATTCACACACAGCCTCCACTCATCTCCTCCTGCTCACAAGCAGCCGCCTCAAGCTGCCACCTGCAGCCTATCATGGTTTCTGGCAGATGCCACCCCTGTTCCAGCGTTGCGGGTCCTGGCAGATGCCACTTGTGTTCCGGTGTCGTGGGTCCCGGCAGACGCCGCTCGTTTTCCGGTATTGGGGATCTGGGCAGACACCAATCATGTTTCGGCGTCGGAGGTCCTGGCATATACCACTCGTGTTCCAGTATTGGGGATCCTGGCAGATGCCCCTCATGTTCTGGCGTCGGGGGTCCCGGCAGATACCACTCCAGTTTCTGTCCCGCCTGGCTCTGCCTAAGTTCCTGTTCCTGCCCCTCGGTCGGGGTTGCCAGCATGCGTCTTTCCACTTCCTGCCCTTTGGTTTGAGGGTCCGGCCAAAGCAGCCTGTGTCTCTGTGGCAGCTGCCATCTTCTCCTGAGTCTTGACAACAGTGGCAGCTGCCCTCTTCTCCTGTGCCGCGACGGCAGTGGCAGCCAGCATCTTCCCCTGAGTCTCCTGTGGCTCTTCTATAAATTTCCAGCATTCAGTGAGCAAAGAGATTGATTTAAGAGCTGTTCCAAATACTTTTAACATGATCCAATAATTTTGTGCTAATTCTGCTTGTGGCAGCCTCAGTGGAGCCTCCCCTGCATCCACCATCAGCGCAAATTTCAGTGTTGTCTGGAATGCTCCTATACACGGTCTCAAAGCCCTAGCCTGAACAACATCCAACTTTGCCAGAGAAGTTTTAGCTGCTGAACCATACGCAAGGCACCCATAATCAAAATTTTCTCTGATCATAGCCCTATAGATCATCAGCATGAGAAACACCCAGTCAAGCATCTCATAATAGTTATGACTTTTTCACACTTACTAATCCTAAATCATATTTTACAGATTACGGCTGTGAGGACAATTGGTTGACTTTGGATTGT